TTGAAGCCGAGACGCTCGGCGTTCTCCCAGGTGAAAGTGTAGCACTTGCCTGCGAATGATTGTCAGCTCGTCTGCTTGAATGGTAAAGAGACGACCAAATCTCAGAACTCTCGACTTACCAGTGGAAATGCCAGAGGTGCAGGTACGCTCACAGTTGCCCAGAGCGTTCTCGAAGTATCCGGTAGGGCAAACGCACTTGTTGTTCACCAAAACCTTACCCTTCACACACACGGGCTGAGGGGCCTTGCAGACCACGCCATCAAAGATCTGGTTGATAGGGCAGCAGCGGTACCCAGTCTTGCTGGAACCAGCGAGCTCGTGGCCCTCACCACAGCAGTCAAAGGCAGTGTCAACACTGCCGATAAGCTGCTGAGAGGGGTAGCAGCAGGCAGCATACCGTCCAGATGCGCTGAAGGTGAGGTGCTTGCCAGACGCAGGAGAGCAACGGAAGTACTCCTCGAAGTCGGAGCGAGGGTCAGAGAAGACAATCTGATCCCCGTGGCGGACACCAGTGCCATCCATCTCCGCGATCTGCACATTCCGAGCGCCGAGATCGGTCCGGATCGCGGCATTGGTGCCAGTGGCCTGCAGCAGGAGGGCCACAAGGCTCAAGGAAGTGACGGCCTTCATTGTTATTAAAAGGAAGGGAGAAGGACTCAAAGAGAAATGGAGGACTGCTTCGTACAATCAGGAATTGATGGGCGAGGCTCGTCTCTTATTTAAGCTTTCCCCGGGCAAGAGCAATCCTTCGTAGAAGCAGCTTCACGATTGCGGGCGAATCTCCGACCCTCACCTTTCAGCTAGGTGGATCTTCGAGCTATGGTGGATCTTCTGAAAGGTTTTTTCATGATGGAGCCCATCCTATTTGTGTGTTCGAGGCCAGGCGTGGAGGAGCCATGCCCGGACGGGAAACGAGCATCTCAAGGTCTCAATCGCAGTCACCGCTCCGAGCACATTGATGATCTATTAGATCAGTGCGCTTTTTGACCCACCGTGTATTGCTCAGGTAAATACTGCTTCAGCTCCGCCGTGATCAGCCACCACGGTCTGGAGCCCGAAGATGGAAGGAGCTCGTTCCCACATTGGAGAAGTGGCTGGGAAGAAGTGTTTCTGGGGCGTTGCAGGGCAATAAGCCATGACCTCATTGCAGGCATCCTGTTTAGCCAGCTCTCTGTCTGGAATCTGGTGAGATGATCTTGGATGTTCGAAGAAAGCTCTCCCCGCAAATTGTCCTCTTTCAGGGCCTGCATTCAGAGTGTAGATTTTCCACGGATCTGTTGGCCAGCTGGGTGGCGATGGAGATATCCTTGAGAGTAAGCTAGACCCGACTAGACTATACGAACTTGATACATACTGCTCCTTTAGGTTTAGTTGGAGCAAGTATCCTCCTTGGCGCTGGTCATGTGTTTTAGCCTCGATTCTCGTCTCCGATCGGTTGTTTTGACCACATAATGAGACGGGCGTAAAGTTGACTGAATGAATTGCGGTGGGTCATTCAGATCTTGCCTGAAATGACGTTCTCTCGTCGAATATACCGGCAACTCCGAGGCTATCGAAGCGTGCTGTCCTCATATCCAGCCGGGAATTGAGTTTGACGTCCATTTCTTAGAGGCTTCTCGAAACACGGGAAGGTTTAGCGATCCAGTCGACCGGACGGTTTTTGTGGGGAGGGGACAGGAAGCTACTTGGCAATAGTGGCAGATCTTGTCTGAATTGGCGGTGTGGTGGTCACAGGCTGCAATCGAATGTGAATCCGGAGCTGAAATCCTTTGTCGGGTAGTGATTTTTTCTCTCTGTTCGCCTCTTCATCATCATCTTCATAGACCATGCAGCTCAAGTCCACGCCCAGAAGGTGGACGCATGAGAAGATTTTGCGTCACTGCGCCTCTTTTTCGCGAAGCCACACTCTGGAGGCGCTCGTGTCGGTTGTGGAGCCTTTCGCTTCATGCCGGATCCACCCGCTGCATCTTCCCGTCCTTGTTGGCTACTAAGCGTATACGCAAGCTTATGCAGGCATATCTTGCCGACGTAGCTCCCAACAATCCGTCACACTTATCGGCCCATGACCCTTGTTCACCTGCCTGAGATCCCGCGATGTCTCAACAGTAAACATGCAAGGCAGACATGGAGCGAGGATTGTTTCAGCAAGATAATTCGCGCACCCTCAAGAGTGCATTTGGCGGTCCGGACGGTGCTCTAGAGGCCAACCTAGTGGACATTGCCATGAGTTTGTGGAATGCCACACAATCTGCCAGTTGATCAAGGTCGGACTAATCGTATACCCTGACACCGTCATATGATCATGGCCTTCACACAAGGACATACTTCCAGACACCGAAGGATGAGGTGTTGGCGATCCATAGCCTTCGACACCTCTGAGAGGTGTCGTACAGTGTGGGTTCACTGCGCCAAGTGCGAAATTAATGTTAACAACATACTCTGCCTTTCCCGTGCGCAGTAGTCCTGAGTATATGCCCGAGGTTTTTGTGTCCTTGCTAAAACAACGAATGGAGGGTTTGCGATCTCAGGCAGCGGTTCGAGCAGCAAAAAGAAAGTGGCTATGAGCAGGAAGCGAACAGTGCGAGAAGAACGCACAGACGGGGGTCTCACTGTAAAAGACAAAACCAGCTAAACCAGCCAATGGTTGACAAGGTCTGTCATAGCCGCCTTGACCAAGCGCGGAGAATACCTGTTTGTTGGAAATTTTTTATGCGTGTTCTGGGCTCGGGGAAAAGTAGAGAGGATTGGAGTTCCTGTCTATCTCCCGATCGGATCGTCAGCATTGCTTCGAAACAAGAGCAGGGATTAGACGCATTCTCTCTTGGCTCTTGCGTACAACCGCGCACGTCCGACCAACCGTATAGACTGGCCGCATCCCAGACAGAGTATGGTCATCAGTCTGGCTCGGAAAGTGATACGCTGCTTGACATTTGATGAAAGAAATTGCCAACGATCAAACAGCTTCCGCCGAGAATCTTCGCTCGCCATCATGCATTCATGCGGTCAACTGAATCGCAGGCAGCTCCCTTCACCCAAAAGCAGCACCTTCTCTATCAATGTCAAGGAGTTGGGCCCTCCAGCTGCCGGAGATCTATGAATCTGTGACGTGTAGAACATAATGTGACTCAAATTGCGAGATTTGACGAGGAGATATATACCTCGAAGCATGGAGAAGGCTGCAGTGACTGTCATTCTAGACGGAAGGTCTGTTGAAATGAAAGGAACGATGCAGGACTAAGCTGCCTGAGGCACCAGGAAATCGCAGATCATAACTAGTGCAATCGCTTGTGAACTCGGCAAGCTTACATCAGATTCCGGATACAAACACCAACCAACAACTTTCATTCCTTACACTCCTGCTTTCACAATGGGTCTACATAGATATTCCATATTCCTCACATTCTGGGACTACTTCTGTGGTACTGCACGGTCGCAATTCGGGCTGAGCCTGGGTTCCATACCCCCTCTCGCCCCCTGCCCTTCTTCCGCCGATGGGGGTCGCACTGATAACCGCCTGCAGCCCACCAGATCGGGTGACATCCCCTTTCCAGCACCACTTCTATTTGACTGTCTCACTGGCTTTAATCCCATTCTTGAGGATGAGAACTTCAAGGGCACTGTCAGGTGAACGCAGAAGCGCTGATACAACGATAAGAATTTCCCGCGAATTGGACGCAGTAGTCACGCCTCGGTTCTCGCTCCTTATCTTTTCCCCCGCGCACGAGGGCCGAGACATTGATCAGAGACAATTTCTTGCGATAGGCACCCCCTCGAGCGTTTGAGATAGTCTCCTATGCGCATAGATTTAACTTTTCGAACTATCTTCTATACTCCTAGCATCGGATTGGTCTGTTCGGTTGATGGTGGGAATCTAAGTAATATATCCAGAGGCAAGACGAAAGTCAATGGAAGCCAAGGCTTGGAACTAGAAGAGGCCAAGAGGCGCTCGCTGCTTATCAGTCCCATGGTTGGCCTGCCCTGGAACTTTCCCTTCCCCCGCTCCGCTGCGGAGACGTAGTGCCATCCCGTCAAGGTCGGCTTCTCACAGGGTCCATGGTGACTTAGGTGGAAACCCACGTGGGTGTCAGAGCGTCATCAACCCACCTGGAATACTTGGGATAATTGAATGTTTTCATTAAATTCAACGAAGCGAATGACCATCGGGTTTTAAGCGATCACGACAGCCGTTTGGTGCAAGACGTCTTACAGTGAGGTTCTTGCGTCTTTGGTTTCGTTCATCCCTAGCGCGAATAGGGCTACATTGCATCTATGGCGGAATCACATTAGCCTATGGTCAGAACCAATTACTGGTGCTCAACTTGCGACCCAAGGCGCTTTAGCGTCGGTAGTCCGAAGGAACCCCGTGGTGAGTGCGATTTCAGGTTTGCCGCTTGCCATGTCAATGCTACGTTGATTGCTGGAGTTATCTTCCTGGCAGGTTTGACCCTGTCTTATCTTCTAGTTCATGGCACCACTCACATTGGTCAGGTTGCAGATGATCCTTGCCGGAGACTCCTTGGAAGGGCTACGGCACCGCGGAATTGCACGGACTGATAACGCCACTGGAATGGCATGAGAGGTTTTCCTTTAGTCCTTCGCTGGCTGGCAGAACAAGCCAGACACCAGCTGGGCGGCCAGACCTTCAACTCAGCCATGAGGCGTGAATTGGTTCAACGGAGAGAGGGGTCACAAGCCAGCAGAAGCTATCATAGTCATTTCTTTTTTGGTGTGTCACTATAGGTCTAGTGAATTAGCTTCGATCTAGGGCGAACGCCCAGTGGCGAAGAATAATGCTGCCCGTTCCATTGGAATGGCTCATTTCCTGGCTTTATGGTATCACAGACTCAGTGGTCACTACAAAAAGTGAAGGTTAGCCTCAGTTCACATGGCGTTGGGTGAGATTATAAGAGAGCGTTGACCGCCAGCTCAGGAAGACGGGCGCGATCAGTCAAATTCATCTTTTATCTCAACCCCTCTTTACTCAGTGAGAGCCAACCACCATGGCACCTCCGCTGATCACTTCGTCCGTCGACAGTGATGGCCTGTCGGCCACCAACTCAACTCCTGCTGAGGAAAAGACTGCCATCACTGTGCTTGGCAAAGAGGGAGAGATCAAGACAGTTGCGGACCATCTCGACCATGAGAGTGACGAAGATCCTGACGCTGTGATCATCACCGGAGCAGACGCAGCTGTGCACTTGCTGCCGCTGCGTGACGACTTTGACAGTGCCCTGACTTTTCGCAGTGTTGTGTTGGCTTCGGGTCTGGCTTGCTTCCAGGCCGTCATGTACCAAATTTACATTGTAGGCCTAGGAGATATCCTCTGACATCCCTTCTGTACCTTCACTGACAAAGAGAGACAACAGTTCAAACCGACCACCATCACCATCCAAGGAACCTTTATAGTCCTCATCTCTTACTTCGTCGGCAATGCTTGGGCTCGTTTCCTCCCTCGTGGTGATACCTCTGAGATCCGGTGGAGAGAGCGAGGTGGCCAGGGCAAGCTTCCGCTCGGGATTCGGCTCGTCAAATTCCTCAATCCAGGGCCATTCGGTCTTAAGGAGCACGCAATTTGTTCTATCACTGCCACTTCGGCCTCGAATGCTGCCGCCAGCACCCAGGTCTTTGCGGCCCAGGACCTCTTCTACAACCTTCCGTTGAGTGCAACCACTGTCATCTTAAGCACCATCTCAATTGGTCTATTTGGCTATGGGCTCTGTGGTATCATGCGTCCCATTGCAGTCTGGCACCCCGAGGCTGTCTACTGGAGTACTCTACCGGTGGTCAAAACCTTGCAAGGGCTCCACTGGCAGCAAGTGAAAAATTCCAAGCCCCTCCGTTGGTTCTGGTACGCCTTCAGCGGCATGGCATTATATGAGATCATCCCTGCATATATTTTCCCATGGCTGAACTCTGTCTCGATCCCGGTAAGTGTGCTTCATCTTGTTTACGAATACTCTGCGGATTGCTAATTAGACCCCGAAACACAGTGCTTGGCTGCTCAGAAAGCCACTGGCAATACGGCCTCCATCCTGACCAATCTCTTTGGTGGAGCGACTAACAATGAGGGCCTGGGCTTATTCTCACTCAGCTTTGACTGGCAATATGTAAGATTATATTCAATACGTACAGATCGTTGAAAATCTGACCGGCGCAGATCACATCCTTCCAAACCTCACTCCCCCTCAAACTACAGGCTCACCAAGCGGCAGGGTTTCTCGTCTGCTTCGTTATTATGCTTGGAATCTATTACGGCAACGGTTGGGATTCAAGGTCACTTCCCTTCATGTCGACACGCCTTCTCCAGGCAAATGGAACAGCCTATCCCGTTTCCACGATTTTCCCCGGAGGTGTGCTGGATGAATCCGCCCTAGAAGTCTACGGCCTCCCTAAACTCACGGGTACATTTGCTTTTTCCATGTTTATGGCCAATGCTGCAGTATGTGTGGTACCGTCGTCCTTCGTGAATCTGAGCTAAGATTCTCTAGATTGGTGCTTTGGTTGCACATACCGTCCTCTTTTGGGGACGAGATATTTGGCGAACCTACAAGAGTGCACGAGAGGGTAAATATGATGATCGCCACCACGTGCACATGGCCAAGCACTACAAAGAGACTCCTTGGTGGTGGTATGCCTTCGTGCTCCTCTTTAGCTTCATTCTGGGCCTGGTCGTGGTTCTCAAAGAGAATGTCACTCTTCCTGCCTGGGCATATGTCGTCTCGCTCATCGTTGGAATTATATTTTCGCCATTTGTGAGTGCTCACCGAGGGGAGAACTACCTGCGAGTATCTGACCATTAACACCTGCGACAGAGTACGATCCTCTATTCCAAGTACGGTAACGGAATCGCTACCAACAATTTGTCCAAGATGTTGGCTGGCCTTATGATTCCGGGCCGCCCGGTTGGGAATATGTACTTTGCTGCGTGGTCGCACAATGTGATTTCGAATGCTGTGACTTTGTCCAACGACTTGAAGATGGGCGAATACCGTAAGTGTTACTGATCATCCACAGCCATGCGGACTCTAATGCTATGTCCTAGTCAAAATTCCACCCCGTGTCATGTTCTTGACCCAGATCTACGGCACCGTCCTCGGTGGATTCATCAACTACGCTATCATGATCTCGGTTGTGAGTGGTAACCGAGATCTTCTTGTCAACGGCAACGGAGATTCCTCTTGGAGCGGTGCAACAATGCAATCGTACAACACCAATGCGACCTCGTGGGCGCTGGCAGCTTACCTGTATAAGGCGGGCAAGCAATACAGCATTGTGCCGGCCGGATTGGCAATTGGCGCTGCTGTGGTCGCCCTTCACAAGGTTATTCATAAGGTAAGTAACTTCGCCAATACGAGGGTCATCCCTTTCCTTTTTCCAGTCGAGATTCGGAGTCGAATTGCTCATGCTTCGATTTAGATCGTCCCACGGATCGGCAAATTTGACGTCTCCGAGATCAACATGCCGCAGTTCATTCAGTATGCAGGCTATATCCCTTACAACCAGAGCCAGACTTGCATCCTCTTCAGTTGGGTCATTGCGGGCTTTTATGTCCAGTACTACCTCAGAAACTTCAAACCCCGAATTTTCAAGGACTACTCATATCTGATTACCGGCGCCTTCGATGGAGCAAGCTTGACGATTGTCTTTATCCTGTCATTCGCCGTGTTCGGAGCCGGAGGGTCAGCGCATAGCTTCCCGACATGGTGGGGAAACAATGTCAATGGTTATTATGACTGGTGTCCGGTCTCGGACTAAGGTGAGGTTAGTCGCAGCTAGTGAGGCATGAAGTTTTAATTGATACCTGATACCGTACATGAAGTGCTACGATGCTTACATACTCGAAAGCTTCATATCTTGAGGCATTATCGGGATATCTATTAATAGGGCTATACGCCTGCATCGCCCCATGGGCTAGTAATGTGGAATTTTTCCAATGTGACTTCTTGTGTCGCATCATCGCACTGTAGGCCGCTTTCATTCTCTGTAGCCAAGCTGGGACCGAGTACGGCCACTGCCTCTTCGGTCCACTTCCCTTCCGCTGCTTCAACCTCGTTCCCCACCGACCTTACAAGCACAGTACTTCAAGGTGCAGTGCGTGCATGACAAATCACTGGCAGTGTGCCAAGGTCATGGAATCAGACAGACTCATGAAGCTTTGGGCCCAAAGAGCTGAGATCGCCCCCGCAGTTTCAATTATCAAGATCCCTCCCTACGTAATTGAATGATTCATGAAGGTTAATCGATTCCACTCAAAAATCTCGTGTTTTGTCAGATCTCGATGATGGCGTGGCTTGTCGGAACCAATGGTCAAGTACCAAACTGACTACCTGGGGTTTGTGATGATCAGTAATCAACCCTCCTCGTGTTTTCTTGCTGTGTTGCTGAATAATGGACGCCAACACCATGCCGTGGAATCGCATGGCTGCTATTGTCCTCTCAACGCTGATTAATTCCAACACGAGCACGAAATCGCAATATGGACTACGCAACGAGAATAAATAAATCCGGGCAACATGGCTTCCATAGCGTGTCATGCTACTCAATCACCGATCAGCTCGATCTTCTCCATAAGCAACAATGGATTCTCTTATCCGCAACAGCACAGCTGGACAATTGCTGCGATGGGTCACAAGGAACAAAATCCTACTCTACCCTGAGGAACGTCCCGACTTCCAATGCCCAAACTGCTATGCAGGAAATGCTTCGAGTGCGGCCATCTTCGAAGCCGATGAGGAGAAAGACTCGAGTTCCGAAACCGACGCAGATGCACGGCAATCCGATGATGCTTCTACATCCGAAACCGCTACCAACTTGAGCCGGGTGCCGTCAATGACAGACCTTGAGAAGGTCCGCACTCAAGATGATCTCGCTCGCCTGTATTCCATTGCTACGCAGACCGAGGCACTGCAGGCGGCCCCCAGCCGGTCGATAGCGCCCACGAAAACCGACGATGGCACCATCCTGGTGGACTGGTATACGACGCATGATCCAGAGAACCCGCAGAACTGGTCATCCGGCAAGAAGCTGTTCGTCGTGACGCAGATCTACCTCTACACATTTGCCGTCTACATGGGCTCGTCAATCTATACGCCTAGCGCTCCGGAGATTCAGACTCGGTTCGGCGTTTCGGCAACTGCCGCCTCTCTGGGGCTGGCGCTTTACGTCCTGGGGTACGGGATCGGGCCGTTGATCTTCTCTCCGATCAGCGAGATCCCTCGCGTGGGACGGAACCCTCCATATATCATCACGTTCGCCCTGTTCGTCATGTTCACTATCGGCGCTGCCGTGGTCAACACATTCGGAGGTCTTCTCGTGCTTCGATTCCTGCAGGGCTTCTTTGGCAGTCCATGTCTGGCAACTGGGGGCGCCAGCATTGGCGACGTGTACAGTCTCCTGAAACTGCCCTATGGGCTCACTACTTGGGCGGCTTTTGCAACCCTGGGTCCCGCTCTGGGTCCTCTGATCTCGGGCTTCAGCGTTCCCGTGATGGGCTGGCGGTGGTCTCTATGGGAGACTGTCTGGCTCTCGGCTCCGATCCTCATCCTAATGTTCTTCTGCTTGCCTGAAACCTTCCCGGATGCGATTCTACTGCAGCGCGCGCGCCGCCTGCGCCGATTGACGGATAACGACAAACTACGCTCGCAGTCTGAAATCAAGCAAAAGCAATTGACCGTCACCGCTGTGGCGATGGAAGCGCTGTACCGACCGTTTCAGATCATCTTCCTTGACCCGGCCATCCTCTTCTTCAACGTCTACACCAGTCTGATCTACGGAATCTACTACTCCTTCTTCGAGGTCTTCCCAATCGTGTACATTGACATCTACCACTTCAACCTCGGCGAGATGGGCCTCGTGTTTCTGAGCATTGCCGTGGCGCTCGCCATCGCCGTCCCGCTCTACTTCTGGTACCTGTATCGAGTGTTTGAGCCCGAGATCCGTGCCCGCGGCCCTGGTGCCCCGGAACGCCGACTCATTCCCGCCCTGTTCGCTTCCTTCCTTCCGCCGATCGGGCTGTTCATCTTCGGCTGGACCTCGCGCGGCTCGATCCACTGGATCGTCTCGGTGGTTGGGATTCTGCTGTACACGATTGGGATCTTCACTCTGATCCAGTGTATCTTCATCTACATCCCGATGACGTACCCGCAATACGCGGCGAGTCTCTTCGCGGGGAATGACTTTATGCGCAGTGCGCTGGCTTGTGGCGCCGTGCTGTTTGCAGGCCCGTTGTACCGGAATCTTGGGGTGGGACCCGGGGTGAGTCTTCTGGCGGGGTTGACGGTGGGGTGCATTGGGGGGATGTTTGCCTTGTACTATTACGGGGCTGCGTTGAGGGCGCGGAGTCGATTCACTGCGAAATAGATGGGATGATACGTTGTTATCTCTAAGAACTAATGTGTAGTTAATCAATGGTATGGTTTATGACTAAGATCGAAATATAGCAACGATGGAGACTTGACTAGCCTCTGTGTCTGTAATATTGTTCGTAGTAAGAAACCTACTTATCTTCGATTCTCTCTGGTCATTGTAGCGCCATTCAACCCCTAGACAAACGCTAGGGCAGCTTGGTGAGCAGTATACCCGTCATCCACCTCTCACTCTGTCTTTCAATATTTTGTCTAGGAAAGCTCAGAGGTGGGTGAACTACATATTCAACCGCCCATTGAAACTTCCGCACCGCAGCCTCCACCAACCGCCCCATATCCCCCGCACTGCCGACATCCGTCTTCACAAACACCGCCTGACATCCGGTTGCACGATGAGGTCGTGCATTTTGGGTCTCGGTTTCGGCGGGAATCTATCTCTCTGCGTGCGAGCGTGGTCGGGTCGGCGCAGACGACTTTGGTGCCTTCGAGGGCGTAGCAAAGGGCGATGGCGCGGCCCAGGCCGGAGGCGGTGCCGGTTACGATGGCAGCTTTATTTGCGAGGTTGGGGGGGGAGGTGGCATTGTGGATTCTGGGGTGCATTTAGCGAATAACTGAATTGGATGAGAATTCGGGGGGAAGGGATTTGGTTTAGTATATGCTGGGATTGGGACGTTGCTTGGGTTCTTTATCTCTGTGGGATTTCGCGGGGTGGTGGTCTGGGTCTTCATTGCGGGGAGGCATATTTGCTACAATTGGAGAGGGGGAAGATATGAGGTTGTAGTATATCCCTGGGGTGGTATATGGGAGGTTCTTAGTTGGCTTTCAAGTTGATCTGGTGGTGATTGGGAAGGACTTCGGGCAAGATGGCGATGCGAGAGATGCCATCGTTTACTACATTTTGGTAGTCGAGCAGGGGCCATTTGGAACAAAATCATGCTTGAAGGATTCCTGTAAGTATCGTTGGGGTGTTTCCAAACAAGGCAATAAGTTGGGGTGTTTCCAGGTGTGACGGTGGATGCGGATCAAAACAATCACAAAAAGAGAATGGATGAGCCCAGCCCGGCTCGATCAGGCAACCTTACGATCTGGAGTCGTACGCGCTACCAATTGCGCCATAGGCCCATTCATGTCATGTTTGACTAAATATTGTTATATATTCCAGAATAAACAAACTGCACCTTCCTCGTGTCACCCTTGCATACACCATACATAGATCGAGACATTCTTTCTAGACTCTCTACATTCGACAGCAATCTTGACTCGATGGAGCAAATCTTTGTTCCGCCTCGATGCTACTTACCTTCCATGCACACAACCCATGATGGAATACCCAATCCTTCAGTTCGAAATAGCAACCGAACGCCTTAAGTCGATCCACACTCGCTTTTAACCAGCTTCGGCACCTCCATGCTGCTGACAAAGTCACTCGCTTGGGCTTGAAGGTTAACACCTGGGCGGATCAACGTCCTAACTTGTCACTGCCAAGGTGCGCCTTCCCTACACAAATCTCACTTACCATCGGGCAGGGGTATTCAGTACTCGCAGTACTATCAGGGTCGATTAAGACTGTCCAGTGTGCTTATCTGCGAGTATGTCGAGCACGAACGAGTAGTATCCTTGTCCGTCTTGGTAAATCGGTGCCATCTCCCGGGCTGAGTCCCAATTATCTTATTCGTCTCGTCCAGTCTTGGAGACCGTCCTGTAGAGGCCTGTAGTGCTCCTTCGGGTGTGCCTCTTCCTTCCAGTTGGTGTTTGCTCGAGAGACTTCGACATTACTTTGAAATCTGGGTACCAGCTTCTCTACTACGCGGCTCTATCATCACGATATACTCTTTTTCCTTTTTTGCTCCTTGCCCAGCAGTCGAGCGAGATTCTACAGCTTATTGATGCTATTTTATATGAAGCCATGCCGGTTCTTTGTCCCTTCTTCTATCAGCAGTATAGACTGGGGGAGGGGGGCGCCGGATCCTCTGCCTTTGTGACCGCTACCAGATGCCATGTCTCTTATGCCTAGAACATATGGTATTTTCCGCGAGTGCTATTCGAAATTCGAGGGTCCTCTGGTCTGGGGAACAGAACCCTTGGTACAAAATCTCATACCGCTGCAGGCTATACCTGCTCTATCCCCCAACCACGAATGATCAAAATCGGAAGCCATATTGGCTCGACACTCGCAGAAACCTCGCTTTTTGTTCTATAGTGTCCTGGACAATGACATGTATCGCTGATTATGATCAGTTGCACTTTATCGCGCTCCCACGGTCTGGCGAACGAGTCTCTAGCTTATGGTGATCGATGGTCGGCGGTGTTGGTAAGTCAAGCCTCTGGGGGCCAGGTTCGATTATTGCGGTACTCAAGTGGGTAACGATGCTATGCCCCGATAACTACATCCTATTTTATAGTCACACGGAACCAATAGTATTTGCATGCAGTAAGACACCCTACCCTTCCCCTTAATTGATTAACCAAATATATACATAGTAACGACAATATACCTGCCAAACATAAACCCCGAAAAATAAGGATGATATAACCAAGCAACACCCACACTACCCCCAAACCGCAAAGCACCTCCTCGCCTTTCCACCTCACTCACCAGACAGCAGACAGTAACAAGGATCACCTATTCGTCTACCCCATTCACAACTTCAGATAGGTTTACATAGACAATTAGCTGGAAAAGAAATCACCCCTCATGGGCCTATGGCGCAATTGGTAGCGCGTACGACTCCAGATCGTAAGGTTGCCTGATCGAGCCGGGCTGGGCTCATTATCTTTTTCTTTTTATCTCTTTCTCCCAGAATTACCATTGCGGAATCCTCTAACGATTGCTACGCTCTATCATTGTATGGAACGCTCTCGTCATCAGAAACAAAGTGGGGAAGGGGTGGGACAGGGCGGGTGTACTTGCACTTCTCATTGTCCAGTTTTTTTCTTTTTTTCTTTTTGCGGTATTCAGTCGACTATGCGGACAGGATTGGGATTTCTCATTATCGGCTGAGGTGGAAATATTTACCACAGTTTAGGCTGAAAGAAGGATTCCTTGGACGGTATTACCCGATGACCTCTTCTCTTCTCTTTTTCTTTCTTCCCTCCTTTCTTTTTTTCATTTTTTTACCACGGCTGCCTAGATGTTGCCCTGGGTTTGAATCCTGCTGGCGTGTACCTGTGTCGATAGATGACGCTTTTATGGCTCAGGGGTGGCTCATGAAACGCGTTGCTGATGTTGATGTTGATTTCTAGGATTGATCAATATGAAACCGATATGACTGTCTATAATTTGATGTGGATTCACGTAGTCGGATGATGGCATACGCCAACAACCTGGATGGGGAGTTGCATTGAAACTGGCAATGCTCCATTTCGGACTGAAAGTGGCCCTTAGCTTACTACAAGTTGATGGCTTGCCGACTTAATCTACAACTCAAAGCAAGCAGAACTACCCAACATCGATGATAGTCATGAAAATCACACCATTCCTCATGATTAATTGGTCAATTCCTTCCTCATCCAATTATATAATACACAACCGTTAAATTAAAGTATAAACCGTGACAACGCATGGTATGGTATCTCTTTTTTTGCAACATCAATGCAGTCAATCCATCATCTTCATCCACAATCGTCATTCATAGCCCCCGGATCTACTCCATCCCACAAAGGCGATAGCAGCATGCCGCCGCACATCACCGGACAGCCTCAAACCTTGGGCTCCGCAGTCTCAGCGTGGACAACCTCCGCCCCGGCACGCTTCTCCTCATCAAAGCCAGCCTGCTCGACCATGGCACCGTGCTTGAACTCGTTGCGGGTCTTCCAGGCAGGAGTGCCGATGTAGGGAATACCAGTCGGGTCGGTGAAGATGGCCTCGACCTCTTCGAGGGTCTTTCCGGTGGTCTCGGGAAACATGAAGAAGATGTGGATGGCCATCGCGTTACAGAACACGCCGAACAACACATAGACCTCCCACTTGATGTTGACGAAGGCCGGGGGAACGAAATAGGCCAGCGCGAAGTTGAAGGCCCAGTTGGCGGACGTGCACAGAGCCACGGCCTTACCACGCACTCTCAATGGGAAGAGCTCGGGAGGGTAGACCCAGGAGGCCGGACCGAACGACACGGCGTAGGAAGCAACGAAGAGGTAGGTGCAGGCAATGACACCCTTGCTGGCGGCGCCGTGGATGATCCAGGACTCGGCCTCGATCCCGTTCAGGCCACCAGCAGGCGCGGGGTTGCCGTAAGTCGCCATCAGACCGGCGTTGGCATACATAAAGATCATCATCAGGATCGAGCCGATCAGGAAAGTCGGGCGACGGCCCCATCGATCTCCCCAAATGAGAGCGGGAACGGTGGTGACGACGTTGATCACGTATTGAATGGAGGAGGAGACGAGGTTGTTGTTGCCGTTCAGGCCAGCCATCGCGAAGAGGTACGAAATATAGTACATCATTACGTTCATTCTAGACGGTCGAGTTAGCTTCTGTAGATCATTGTCCATTCCTGATCCTTTAGAATGTGATCGTTGAACATACCCAGTAAGCTGAGACCAGATCTGAGTGAAAATCCCGACGTGGGTGCGGTTGATCATGTGAGGCTTGAAGAGCTCAAGGTAAGAGACATCGGCATTGGCGCGCTCGAATTCACAGATGCCCTTGATCTCCTCGAACTCGCGCTGAACGAAGGGAGAGTTGGGGTCACCCTGACCGTGCACCAAGGTCAGGACGGCCTGGCACTCTTCCCAGCGATCCTTACGAGCCAACCAACGAGGAGACTCGGGGAGTACCATCAGTCCGAAGAAGAGCAGAACCGCGGGGATCATCTGCAGACCCCAGGGAACGCGGAAGGCCGCAGTGCCCTTGATGAAGCTGCAGCCGTAAGAGATACTAACGGAAAATGTCAGCTTGACACGTGTAAGCTGCCATGGTCCAAGACTTACTAGAACATGATCAAGATACCCCAAGTAATAGCCCACTGCTGGAGACCAACAACACGGCCACGCTTGGTGGGAGGAGCCTAGCATCAGTTAGTATGATGTTCAGCAGAGAACCACTGCACAGACTTACAATCTCAGAGATATAGACAGGCACCTGGGCGGAACAAATACCAACGCTGAAGCCGTTGATGACACGGCCAACAACCAGCATGGGAATGTTCTGGGCCGCACAGACGATGATAGAGCCAATGCACCTGTGTCATCACAATCAGCAACCTGGATGACCGAGTAGCAGACAAGGAAACATACCAGATGACCGAACCGACTTGAATAGCAGTCTTACGACCAAATCTATCCGAGATGAAACCAGAAACCAAAGCACCAAGCCAAGAACCACCAGCCATAGAGGCAGTGATACCGCCCTGAACGTCGGCAGTAGGACCGGAACAGACCTCCTTGCCATCCTCGTAAGTGATAGAGCCTTGGTTGAAATAGCAGAGATAGGCTTGCGTGCTGATGATAGCGGACATAGACGAGACATCGAAACCGAAGAGACCACCGCCGATGACGGCGATGGCCGCAATGAAGTAAATGTTGCCGACCTTCTGCATGGTGAAGACAGACTCCGCACAAAGTAAAGAGAGCGTTGAGCACAGTCTGTCTAGGGAAAGTAGAAGGGACACCACCGAACAGGAAAACAACTGAACAAAGGAGAAAACCGGGGAAAAGACGGGGAATTTAAACAGCTGGGTCTGTCTCCCCCCGGGGTGGGAATATCACCCACGCGCACGCGAGAAGTGGATGGAGCCACGAGAGATGAAGGGAGAAAAAAAAATAAATTAAACCGATGCTCGCCACTACGTAAGTGGCCCAACCAAGCATCCGCCATAACCTGGACAAGCGAGAAACAAGCCATCACGAGCGGTTTCAACCGCTAAACCTTAGAGCGCGCGCTGACCCGACTTGTTCTTCCATGAAGGAGAGGGAAAACAGGGTCCCCGCCCCAATTGGTTAAAACGTTTAGCGCAACTGAAAATGAATACTTGCTGACTTCTGTTGCGGCTTCTCCTCTCCCAGCGGAGCGAGTGTGCATAATTGGTTTAGCCCTGAGAAGCTAAGTTTCTCTGTCCTATCGCGAGGGCTGAATGTATGCAATGCAGCCGGACGGCTGACATCGAAGGAAGCCGTGGGTCATTTCTGTCGGCTGGCCGAGACGCGAGACGAAACTGAACCTGGGTCAAAGCCGGGTGTCAGATTGCTCAACATCCCGGGGCAAGAGGAGTACAACACTTGGCCTGGAGAAAGAATGCAGACGTCAATTTGAATTTTCTTGTGTTTCAATTGCATTTAATAAAAGAGGATCTTACCTGGAGGCCCGCCAATCCCAAGGCCATGACTATGCTCCAGATTCGACCAGACCAATGTGTGGGAACTGGAGCAAACACGCAGGAGTGAGAAAAGTAATGAACAATTGGCCCATCCCGTCATGCAGGCCACCCGGAGAGGGCCAAATGTGACCTTAGGGGGGCAATTGAGCCGAAACCGCGGTAATGAGTAGCCTCGCTGGCCCGTGGTGGTATCCCGTTTTCTCTCCGCACGAGAGGGACTTGACTCGTACTCTCAGCTAGCCAGGGAAATTCCCTGACCCGAGAGCGGGCATTCGAAGTCAGCCGTGGAGGGAGTCCGGGGGGACCCCAATCACTGTGGATAATGGAGCGGGCCCGGCACGAAAAGGAGGGGACCAAGTGGGAATTGATTTATCGGGATGGATCGGCATGTGAGCTGCGTATCCCGGCGGTAGACGCAGCAACAAGCACACACGGTACGGTCTCCGTAGCGAAAGAGACGGTGGCCGGGGGAGTAGTTAGAGGGGGAATGCAGGGTGCAGGAAGCAGCCAAGTCGGTCTGTGCAATCAATGGATGTTGTGTGACGGTTACGCTGTTCACATCGATTATTGCATTGCTTGGAAGGGCTGTTATCGGGATTGATGGTTCGGGACTGTGTATTCTAATGGCCTGATGAGTGTGTCATGGAGTCTGTTTCTTGAACCCGGTTGATTCTGGAATCATCTGTTGTTTGAGGGGAAGGGAGAAATTGTGGAGGCCCGGACAATCCCCGAGTTTTGCATCCCCGGAGCACATGATCTCCTTGGATAATTGTATGCCGAATCGGGCATCAAGGGTCTCGGCCCCCCGCCCGTCTTTCCCCAGACCGTCTTAGGTTCGCCGCTTCTTACCCGAGTTTCTCCATCCACATTCACTTCCTGGCACTCTCTGATAGTCTGATTATCCCGAAGAACGCAAACAAAAAACAATAACTGAATAACCATTATGGACACAGGAGACACGGCTACTTATTCAGTCCTAAGAGCTGAAAGTACACTTCTACACGCATACTCTTATACTCCCAACCGGTATAACAATCAACCCATAGCTGTGAACCCCCTTTTGCGGCTGAACCTTCCCGATCAAAATGACCACCACCCGAATTAGCCGAGGAAAACGGCTTCTCCAACCTCTCGAAAGCCCTCGCAACGGAATCGCCCGCGCCCCGAGCCAGGGATTGGTGGATTTTCTCATTTTCGCGTCTTCCTCCAATCGCCACTAAATGGAGGCATGGATTGTCTTAGGTAAAATCCCAACTTTTTGTGGGTTTAGATGCGAAAATTTGCTAAGAATCAGCCTATAGCTATGTGAGTATTACAGTCTGGTGCTCGGCTATGAGCTTTCGATTTCTCGATCCGAAGTCAACACTCGCGTAGAGGCGGGCGGTAGTCATGATTATCATTAGGGTAGGAATAGACGTAATTATTATATATGCCAGGGCACCCAGAACTAGACCCTGTTCCAAGGTAACAGCAACCAAGTGCCCAATAAGATATTTCAACGTGAGAAAAAGGGCGTGTGGTGAATGACAGCCTGTGCAAGCGGGGTCCAGCAAGGACTGACGAAATGAACACCCGAAAATAATGCCGCAGCCAGCCCTAATTAACCGGGGGCCTAATTATGATTATAGCCAGGGGGTTCTTGAGACCCCAAAGACTCGTGACTGGTCGACTCGACTCTGACTCAAGTCAGACCAGTCTCCATTCGGCAATGTATGCCCACGCCATTGCCACTCGCTTGACGCCGCGCCAGTAGTCCTCCGCTGTGATAGTTACACCTCGCGGGTCTTCCCGATCCCCAAAACGCGTTAGCACCGCAACCTGCACTGTCTGGCCCGGAGTGCCTAGAGCGCGAACATCGGGCACATCCAGGTACCAAAGATCTCCGCCGCCGCCAGGGTTGCTGCCCCGGTAATGCGCGAAAACCAGACGGTCATCTTGTCGGCCATCCGCTCCGTGTACTATCAGCATGAAAAGGGCGGGCGAGGCCCGTGAGTGATGTTCCAGGGTCCAGTGCTCGCAGATAAGCCCGAATTGAAACCGGAGCGACCCGCCTTGCTGCACGGTGATCTCTTTGGTCGCTGGAAGAAAAGAGTCTGGCCCAAGGTGGTGCTTATGCGCATCGCCGTAGATCATCGGCTGCTGAGTTGCACCCGGACAGCCCATAATGTATTCCTCCCAACTGATTCCGGGACGGCCATCATCTCGGAAGAACTCATTGCCATTGGTGGGAAAGTGTTTGAGGCCGAACTCGTCATTCGTCTGCGTGAACATGGTCGGATTGAACGATCTTTGGTAGGGCTGACTTGGACCATGGACGTTTCCCGCACCCCAGCAGGTGTCGATTAGCTTCCATTGACCATGGTCGATCCGCACGACGTTCCAAGCATGGTTTGCGTTGAAGGGAGGAACTGCAGAGCCAGGCACAGGATCCGAATACCCAGTTCCCTTGCCGTGGCCAGAAACGACGCGACATTCGAGGCCGGCCTGGGTCGCGAGGGCTTGGAAGAGCCCCGCATATCCCGCACAGACCGCGAGCCCTGAGGCCAGCGTGCCGGCAGGCGTGGAAGGTTGCACTCTATTGCCATAGAAAGCGTCTACGTCGTAATCAACATTATGATGCAGCCAGGTAAATATGACCCGAGCCTTGTCTGTGGGCGAGGGGAAGGGCGCTGTGAGCTCTCTTGCTAACCACCCCAAATCCTGAGTCGGAAGGGTCTCACGCGGGTATCGAGCGGCGTGGGCGTCCGGTGCCGAGAAATCTCGACATTTCAGACAAGCCACCGTCGGTGCTGCACTCGGCGTTACAACTGGTGAGCCAGAAGCAGGCAGGCGAGGCTTGCTAGCTTGAAGTTTAGAGAGATCTGGCGGGGCCGGGCGTGAGGCCACTGGAACCGGGGGAGAGCCACCATTTGTTTCAGCCGCAGGAGAAGGCTTGTTAATCGACGCAAACCCAGCCTGCTGCAGCTTACCCAAAGTAGCAGTCGATGGAGGTGGCGGAGGCAATCTCCGGGTGGGAAGAGTCGGTCTGCATTCGTCGGCTGCAGCCTGATTTGCGCTCGGTGACCTGTCGCTACTGTCCCGAGACGGTAGCCGCGGAGGCGGTCGGGGTTGCTGAGAATATGTACTGTCAGTCGAGCAGTTACTTTGGCTCGATCCCCTGCGTGCGGGCAACTGCGGCACAGACAAGCTGCTATTACTTCTGACAGACGCAGTCGAGGGTCGAGACGGCAGCGGGGGTTGTCGTTTGGGAGGCAAGGGAGGTAATTCCACCTCTCCCCATGCGGGCGGCAGCGAGCGACCGGTTCCCGAGTCGGAGGAGGTCACGGAGGTGATTGTTGCTCGACCCGTACTTGTGGTGGTTGATCGTGATATATCCGAGGCCATCGACTCCCGGGAGACTTTCCGGGAGGGATTGGTAGGCCGTCGTGGAGGGAGGGTAGGGCGTGGTTGAACCTGCTGATCGGAAGGCTTGCGCACGGGCAATGGTGGGGGCGACTTGTATTTGGCCGGAGCGGGGCAGGGCAATGGCTGCGCAGATGGTCGAGGGAATGATTCATCGTAGGTAGGCGGCGGAGTCTCATCGTGAGGCCTTCCATTGCTGCCAGGAATCTCATTGTCGCTAGAACGATTGAATGTCCTGGGCTTCGGAGGAGCAGCCGGGCGGATGGGCAGTGAAGTGGGCTGGATCAGTGTCGGTTCACTGGCCTCGGCGCCTCCAGCTTGACCCGCCTGGGCATGTTTCAACGCCGCAATCCGTTGCTGGATAGACATGACTTGTGGCTCGTCTACCATATTGGACGGCGGGCACTTAAGGAGCTGTCTGCACCAAAAACGAAGATGAAATTTTACTGAGGAGAGTAACGAATGATGGGTCGACAGAAAAATTCGTGCTAAAAGAGATGGTAGACGAATGGGATGAAAGGTGGTGCCTGAGGAAGATGCCGAGCCAGGAACGCGTGAACTTGAACACGATCAACGAGGTAGAGAAAGTGGCAGAAAGACAGTTATGACAAAAGAAGAAGAGGGGTTTCAAAAGAATGAAAGAGAGATATATCAAAAGTGAGGGCCAAAAGGAAGAACGAAACAGGTACTAGAGAGAGCGAGAGGAGGGAGAACCCAGATTTGGGGGGAGCGATAAAATAGTCGAGTTCAATTCAGCCTGCAGTGATTTGAAGTTGAGACAAACTGCCCGGTGGGTGGGTGCCTGAGGCGGTGGTCCCCCCTGCCTTGCCTTGCTTTACGCCGCCCTCCCCCCTCTTCCGTCAGCCCTGTTTATGGATCCATTTATAGATAACTATACATATGCATGCCCACATCCCTATTTCCTCCCCTCCCTATGAGAACAAGTAAGTATGATCAAGATACATGAACTTGTCTTCCTTTGACAAATACTTCCACAATATTCCGGTCATCCCCTGTCATGAGAAACTTTTCAAAGACCGTCTTTACATCATCGGTCTCCTCCACCGGTGCCATCACACTCGTCTTCGCATCCGCCCGCACCAGTAACGCATCGAACTCCTTGCCAACAACAAAGTTTCCTACCTTGTCCTGTAGTCCACACACTCTCGCACCCCCTAAGGTGGCCATATAGAATCCTTCGGTGATACTCAATGGTTCATCACGACCCTGCGTCATGGTACATCGGGCTGTCGAGACCACAAACGCCGCTTTCATCACTTCCAACATCGAAGTCGAGTATCCTCCACCGCAGTCGGTCCCTAGTCCAACTTTGACGTCCCGACGCAGATATTCTCGCACGGGAGCCACCATGAACTCATCCATCGTCACATTGGGAATTGGGCAATGAGCGATGCCACATTTCCGCTGCGTGATGCGGTCGATCTCCGCATCTGATAGATAAATTGCATGAGCCAAGATGCTGCGCTCATTCAGGAGTCCAAGTCGCTCGTAGAGCTCTGTCTCACTTTTATCCGTGGGGAATAGTGTCCGTGTAAAGTCCACCTCACCACGAGATTCGTTAAAATGGGTTTGAATTGGTAGGTCAGTGTTCCGGGACGCCAGCTGTCCCAACTGGATGAGAAGTTCTTCCTCACAGCTGATGGCGAACCGGGGTGTTATCACTGGAGTGACGAGGGTATGGTCAGGGTCCAACTCCCGGACACGCCTAATGAAGCTTTCCGTGCTTGTGATTGAATCAGTGATGGAAGTATCGCGGTACCACTCTGGTGCGTGGCGGTTCATGTTGCATTTTCCGATCAGAGCTCGTTGGCCTTGCGCCAGGCAGGTTTCCGCCAGGATCACGGACGCATCGGCATGACGTGATCCATAGTAACAGGCAGTCGTGACACCTTGCCGGAGGCTACCACGAACTGCGGCCGAGTAAAGCTGCCGCGCGTAGTCAGGGTCCGCCAATTTCGCTTCGTGGGGAAATGTGATTTCTTCCAGCCATTGCAACAGAGGAATTCCTCGACCAGTGCCGCGTTGGGCCCACTGAGGAGCGTGTGTGTGGGTGTCAAGGAAGCCAGGAATGAGAAACTCGGTAGGACCAAGGAAGGTCAAGCAGTACGCAGGTGGTTTCAAGTCGTGATGCTGCGCTAGCAGTCGTGCTGTGGCGGCGGCTGGCGTGGAAGGATGAATACCTTGAATTGTGCCGGTCGGGGCGACGACGATCACGCAGTCGGTCAGGATTTCCAGCTCATTTGCACAGATCGTATGGATCAGTGTACCATGAAAGACTTGAGTCTGGGACATCTGCGCGGCCATGACGATGGAGCGGTCGGTGCGAGAAGTGGTTGTGGTGATGACGGAGGAACAAACGAAGGAGGGGTTCATGCTATCTAAAGTAGCGGGGTAATCCTGGCTCTATTCTACACATACATAAAGTTTCCCCAGCAACGCCGAAGCTTGAAATACATTAAAGGGTATAATAGGTTGCCATTTCCTCTTGAAACCAGTCATAAGAATAGAACAATTGCTCTGCCAGTTGTGGGTCGATTACTGGCACCATTCCGGATGCATCAACCAGTAGAACATCGTCGAGTACCGGTGCCATTGGTACCGGCGGTGCCATCAGAACATGCTGCGGCTGAGGGGGCAGAGACTGCTCCGCAGCGAATAGAGTTGTAGGGTTAGGTGGGGGTGGGACGAGATGTAGCTGCTGCTGCTGCTGTTGTTGCTGTTGCTGTTGCTGTTGCTGCTGTTGTTGCTGCTGCTGCTGCTGCTGTTGTTGTTGTTGTTGTTGTTGTTGTTGTTGTTG